CCACAAAGCACGATTTGGGGGGGGTGTGTGCGAGGCGAGTCTAACAAATTGCCCCTCTTCGTTGTCCCTACTCCAATCCCTTTTATTTATTATTCGCAACGTCTTGAGGTCAGGCGTTTGAATCAGGAAAGTGATGCAAACTGTAGTTAACTCCTCTGTGCCTTCCTTTCGCTCTCAGGCCCGCCTTCCTTAAACTGCTGGCTAGCTCTCGCCTTTCCCGCCTGCTTTCTCTCCCTCTCCAAGTTGGGGCAACTATTTATTTTTCTTCCTTCCTTTCTTCCTTCCCTTCTCTTCCCCCTGCCCCCCTGCCTCCAGTCTTTTCCCCCCGACTCCTCTGTGGGAGCGCCGCCCTCTCGCTCCCTTACCACCCACCGCACGCTCTCGCCTGTTGCCGAGGTGTTTCTATACAAACGGCGGCGTCCAGTTGTCATATAAATTATGACGCGGAGCAAGGACCGAAATCGTCCAAAATAAGAGGGAGAGAAGCGGGAGACCTCTCCTCCGGCCCCTTTCCTCCCATCTCCCCCCACCGCACCTCCAGCTTCGTAATAGCGCACACCCCCCCCATTATTCTTATCCTCCCCGCCCTTCTTTTCTTGCCTGTTCAAAGATTTCAGCCAAAGAGCCTCTGCAACAAAGCACTAATTGGGCTCCTGGAAAAAAAAAAGGCATGGAAGATAGGTTTCATGAAGTCTCACAATGGCCAAGAAGGGAGCGGGGAAGATCCCTCAATCGACCCCACGCTTCTTTTCTAAACTCCCTTGCTGAGCAAAAAATGGTCTGATTCTTGAATACTGTACCCAGCAGAGGGGGGCAGTTGGGAGTGAAAGAGGGATGGAGAATGCCCTGTGTCTAAGGGCCTCTCCCCCACAACTTCTCCCTTCTTTTCTCCCTCTCTCTTCCCCCACCCGCCATTCATCTCTTCTATGCAGAGAATAAGCTGGGGTTTTGTGTGTTACGTTTACTATGAAAGACCTTTTTTTTTAAAAAAAAAACCCACACACTTTATTTTCACTCTTAAAGATGGGGAGGCGTGGGAGGGAGGGAGCACATGCGCCCGGGACCCAAGCGAGCCGGCCTAGTACTGTAACAAAACAGAGTGTAACAAATCGCCCCAACGCCCCAACCCCAGTAAGCTCCAAAATCTATTGATTCTTTTGAAGATCTATATAGGCGCACTGAACTTCGTTCTGCTGATCCCAGAGACGGGCAGTTCATCATAACGCACATAAAGGCGTGGGGTGGGTGGGTTTTAAAACCCAACAAAAGGCAGAGGAAAATTTAGTTGGGGAGGGGAGGGGAGGGAAAGGTAAAAGAAGCCAGGGGGTTGCCTAAAAAGAACCAGGGTTTTGCGGCTGCAATTTGCCCGAGAAAAACAACAATGAAATAATGGTGAAGGACCTTCTTTAGGTGAAGCAGTGAAAGAATATTTATCATCATCAGAAAAACAAGGACTCTTCACTGCAGGTGCAGAGCTCATAAAAGGGGTCTGCAGGAGAGAAAGGGAGGCTACAGGTTTATATCTACGACTCTCAACAATAGCTACTTTAGTTGGAGCCAAAAAACCAGCAGAAAACAAAATCAAAAGGAGAATTTTAAGCATTACTCTTGTGCTTCACAAGCAATTCCTGCTGAAATCTGAAAACTTTTCCAGGATTGAAAGTTTTGCCATTCATGTTGGGACTAAACCATCATAGGTTGAAGCACTTGTCTCTGTAGTATAGATACAACAAAGAGGCAGACCTGCCGGCTCTCCTGTGGTGGCCATTCTTACCACATTTATATGGAAATCTTAGGCACATCTACTCAAATGAAGGCCTATTAATTTCAGTGGGGTTACTTCCAGATAAAGGCCCATAGAACTGCAGCTCTGGAGAACCAGAAATGGTAAAACCCACTAATTTAGGAGAAAGCCTCAATGAATTGAGTAGAACTTTTTTTTAGTACAGACATGTTTAGGTATGCATTCAAATGTATATTTGATGGGACTGTGATTTCAAGGATTCTGTATGCTCATCTAAAATACTTTACACTGCAACAAACTAAGGCAGAGTGCAATTTTCAAAAACTTGTATGCATATCATATGATATTCCTAGTTGCATCACATGAAGGACATTTCATCTAAAATACTTTACACTGCAACAAAGGCAGAGTGAAACTTTCAAAAACTTGTATGCATATCATACAATATTCCTAGTTGCATCACATGAAGGACATGCTTTTAAATTGTAGTGGGGAAGCTGTGGTCCTTCAGATGTTTGAGGCTTCAACTCCCAGGAACCTTAGTCTGCAGTGACAATGGTTAGGTATTGTTGGAGCTGCAGTCCAAACATCTGGAGGGCTATATGCCTTCACTGCTCATTTCCCACAAATTTAGACCTCATTTCGAAGGTTTTAACCTTTAAGAAACCAAATGAAGACACCACTTCCAGTTACTGTACTTCCTTAGCCAGAGCATCAAACTTCCAGGGCAGAGCTGGAGCTGAGGTAACTCCTCTACTTGCCTTAGCTGCAGGATTGCTAGCTGTGGTCCTGAAATCCAGCCCCTAGTCTAGCATTCCCTAGTCTTGTCCAAGGTCCTGATCATGCATCTGCTCTGTGTGGATTCCACTTTGCCTCTTGTGGGAACACAGGAACCTGCCATAGCTGCCACTGAACTCCATTTAGTGAGGTGCTGTCAACTTTGATTGGCAGTAGCTGTCAAGAGGTCCAGACAGGATGTTTTCCTAGCCCCACCAGGAGACTTCCCATCTTTCATGCTGATCTTCCCTCCAAGCATTAGCCAGACCTATTCCTGCTGAGGTTCCAGAATTGGATAAGCTGTGTTAAGGGTGATCTATCTTACATGAACAGTTGCCTCCCTGTGGAGAAATATGAGATGGATTAGCTCATGCTCCACATGAGCATCAGTGTAAAGTACTAGACTTTTGAGATGGCTGCATAAGAGACAGAAGAGCAGAACTGCGCAAATTGGAGAATGCTATTTTAATGTTACCCATAAAGCAAACAATTTTTTTCAAGGCTGCAGATAAAGTAGAAAGGTTTTCCTGCCCCGCTCTTCTCCTCCATGGGGGAACTGAAGTTAAGACACAGATGTCTCCAATTGTTCTTAGATTACGACTCCCAGAACACTTTAGATCAGTGGTTCCCAATCTTGGGTTCCCAGGTATTCTTGGACTAAAATTCCTTGAAATATTCACCACCAAGCTGTGCTGGCCAGGATTTCTGGGAATTGTAGGCCAAGAACATCTAGGGACTCAAGGTTGGGGACCACTGCCTTAGACAGAATGATCACTGACCATGCTGGTGGAAGTATTCTGGGAGTTTTAATCCAAGAATGTAACTGCCCCCATATCAAGGTAAACATACCAGGGACAAATGACAAAAGGGACAGCCCACTAGGAGACATTTTGCTTACCACCCTTCAAGCTGAGTGCCAAGGTCAGCTTAAGATACTTGGGTGCCTGAGGGGAAGGGCAAGATGGATTCCCTCCCTCCACTCCATATACAGAGACTAGCTGGACTGGCAGTTCAGTCTCACTTCAGCACTGGTGGAGGGTAAGCATCTTTCAGTGTTCCAGAAACATTAGGCTAATTTAGGGAGCCAAGAACAAGTTGTATTGCAGAGAAAACAGCTGTGATGTCCAGCCAAGAAACTGCCATTGCCACTCACTACATCTAGCATCCGAGATAATTATTTCATTCTGCCCAAAGACAGGGCCAGCCCGCTCATGAAGAGCAGAGTCTTAATTATTCAATTAACAATTGGAATAACAATACTGGGCAATGTCGGTTCTCTGTAAAGTGCTTCTTGGATCCAAATATTTGAGAAATATACGTATTCTATGTCATAAATGTTGATGATCAATTCATAGGACTGCTCGCCCTTGGGGGGGGGGGAGGTAATTAAACGGTGCCGGCCAATATACTCCAGCAGCAGTGAGACGAGAAGGGATTTTAAGACCTTCATGCTACTTTCCTAAACTTTCCCAGATTCAGACACTTAACAATGTGTTTTATAATCCTATTAACTTCAGCAGGACTTCAAAGTACTGGATGAATCCTTATGCTCTTAATCTAGACCCCCATGTGCATTTCCAAGGGAATATGGGGCACCTGCAGAAATGGGGTTCCCCCTTTACTACAGTAAAGAGAACAGTTCAGAATATACTCTTTGGTATATTCAGAGATGTTTCTCCCACTTATGGGAAGTCAATTTGTGTCCAAAAAGCAAAGGAAACTCTGTAAAGAGTTTTTTGAATCTCAAAAAAACAAAAAACAAAACCCAGTACATTCTGAGTTACTCTGGCATATGTTCACGAACAGGTTGGCTCTCTAAGTGGAAAAGCTGTGGCAGAATTTATCAGATTACTCTCTTCTGAGGGGGAGAGAAAAGTTATTTGTGATACTTGTTCCCTTAAAAGAGGAATGTTACAGGAGTGGCAGGGAGGATTGCTATACCTCCTGTGCACAAGCTGTCTATGGCACTCTGCAAAAGTTTCTCTGAAGAGTCTGGTCCAGTCATCATCTCACACTACCCTAGCATTAGAAAAAGGTGCTTTTGGGGACTACAACTCCCAGAATCTCCTTAACTGGCCGCTGGCTATGCTGGTTGGGGAATTATGAGATTTGCATTCCAAAAGTGACCTTTGCAAGGTCTGGATGCACTGTAAGATGCACATTACTGCCCACTTGAAGGAACATAATGGCGGTGGCCTGGCACAGAGGTGAGGCGAAAGAAGCTGTGCTTCACCATTGGGATCCCCATTCTCACAAAACTGCTGAAGAATTTCCCTTCTCCTTGAATAAATTCAGTGAAAAAAGGCCCTCCAGTTCCTCTATCCACAATAAGAGGGAGTTTTAGAGAAACCATTCATGTGCCATGCAAGCTGCTCATTATCTTTATCAGCTTGGTGCCCTAAGCATGTCAGAAATAAGTCCTATTCATTTCAGTTGATGTACTTCCCCCTTATGTATGGGCTTGCAGACAAAGGCAGCGAAGGGGTGGAGCAACACTGTGGAAGAAAGTAAGGGGCGGATGGGGAAGCATTAACTGTGGATTTGTGGGGTGGGGTGTGTGAAAGATTCCTTCTGAAGTTGGCAAAATAATTCTGAAGTATGAACTCCATCCTGAAGTTACTTATACTATGCCTTTTAAAAAAATACACAACTGGAAAAATAACTCCTCGTCGGTGATTCCAGAGTTGCAGTTCTGTACTCTTAGCTGCAAGTCATTCTCTTTGAACACTGATTTACTTATGCTGTACATTGGACAAATGGTGCTGCATTCTTTTCCTTCTGAATCTGTCCCTCAAAAGTGTTGTTCAAAAGGGAAAACTTCAACTTAATTCTAACTTGAAGGATATGGGAGTGGGGTAGCCGCGTACTCTCCTTGCAGGAAAAAAAAATCCCACGTGTTTTCGGACTGTGTGTGTTAGGCGCGTTTTAGTCTTGCCACCGATGAATTCTATTTTTAAAAAAAACACCTGCTGATTTATGTTTATCCTTAACCTACACACTGGCAGGCGGGCGAGAGAAACAAGGGGAGGACAGAAAGGAAGATACTGGAGACTCGCGTTTAAAAAGGGATTCGCTTCTCACCGAAGGGAATCCACTGCTTTTTGCTGAAGTGTTCCTTCCCTCGTAAGCACCACAGGGCTCTCCAAATGGCACCCTCTCACTTCCATGTTTCTACCCCTAGCAGGGTTCCCCCTGAGGGCGGCTCGCCCCGGTTCATGAGTCCAGTTTTCTCGCTCCCCGCCAGCACTCTGGGCGACACGGTTGCCATGTTGGTTCCCCTGAGGAGCGCCCGAAGACGTCCAGGCGCCTCCGGAACCACCCTCCGCCTAACAAAAACGAGAGCCTTTGCGGACCCCGACCCAATACCGCAGCCCACCCCACCCCCCGCTTCCCTCGCCCCTTCGGCACGAGCAGGGCTTCGCCCGTCTCCCTCCGCGCAGCCTGCGTCTCCTTCCCCTCTGCCTTCCCTGCACCCTTTCTCAATCAACTGACCCCCCCCTCCCGGCCGGAGCTCTATTACCGCCTATTCTTAAGCCCAGCCAATCAGCACTGGCGGGCCCCGACTGAGCCCCCGCCTTCCTTCATCCCCATGCGGTGGCCGAGCCCAATTGTTTATTCAGTGGCTGGGCCAACGGCACGCGCCGGGCGCACGCACTTGCAACAACAAACCTTGGAAGGGGAGCGCGGGAGGGGGAGGGCGAGCGGAGGCGGAGCCCGGGCCAGCGCGTGGGTACGAGGGCTTTTTTTTT